ATTGCCAATTGTATTACTTGATAAGCACCATGTATCACATAAACTTGAGGATAACAAGAACAATAGAGCAATTTAAATAGATCTTCTCACCTGTGCGCATCGGAAAGTTTTTCAGCCTTCAGCAGCTCTTGTGCCATCTCTAGCGCGCAAGCGTAATCGCCTAAGCAAAGTGAGACATAACTGTAGGCTGCACGAATGGCACATAGCATGTTATCAAGAGAATTTTTGGAAATCGGTCTCGAGGGATTGCAAAAATTGTTATCCTTTACACTACGCCAATTTTCTTTTTCAGCGCCCGCCGATGCTTCGTCCTCATTATTCATTTCAAATACACTTTTATAATAAGTTGTAAGTGTTAGAGCGTTTCGTAGCGCCAGAGCAGCAAAGCGTAGGTTTGGCCCAGATTCTGTAGCAGTTGGCTCCTGTCTGAATACAAATAAGTATTTACATACATATGTATATACAAATGTATATCTGTGATAATAAGCAATAACCGGCTAAGTCAAAAAACCTGAATTCGAGAAAAAAACGTTTTAAATATTTGGATTGTAATGTTAACCTTATGTTATGTTGTTATTGTAATCTTACGTTATGGTGAAACCAAAATTTGTTCGTCTATACCTTTTTAAATAAACTAGCTGGTGATATGGGAATTTCACATACGCACGGAATAATAGTTGCAGACTACGATAGCATATACAGTATTGGCCTTATCTATAGCACCTCCATTTCAAACTGATATTGTTTGCCACTTATGTTTAATTATTAATTTTTAAGAATTTTCAATTAAAATATAGTTCATTCTCTAACAAAAACCCATATAAACCCAATTATTAAACTTTGTAAAAGACTATAAAAAATGCAACAAATTTTCACCTAAATTTCAAACTTTCTTCTCAGAAGTGTTGGATTTTTTTTTTTAATACGCAGTTTTATAGCCCATTCAATTTTAGTCTAACAATGTGCAAGTTTCAAGTGGCTAAAAATTACCGTTGATTTTTTAGAATTTTTTGTTGCGTTTGCTTCCATAAGTGAAGAAACCCGCAACACCTTCGGCGAAAAAAATTCTAAAAAATCAACGGTGCTCTTTAGCCACTTGAAACTTACATATTGTTAGGCTCAAATTGAATGGGCTATAAAACTGAGTACTTAAAAAAATTCTAAGACTTCTGAGAAAAAAGTTTGTTTAAGTGCAATTTTTTTTGTAGTTTTAGTTTAAGACTGCGGGTTTATATGGGTTTTGTTAGAGAATGAACTGTATTTGAATTGATCATTCCTAAAAGTAAATAAATAAACATGAGTGGGAAACAATATCACTTTGAAATGCGGGTGCTATTGTATTGGCCAATAATGTATAACACAATTCTTTCTTAAGTCGACTCAGGCGGTTATTGCTTATGACTACAGATATGTACCTATAGGAAAGTGCACATTAAGAAGTTACTTACTCATATGTTATACTTTTTGACGGTTTTAGAAAGTACATTTTACGCCCACCAGAATTTACCACAGATGTGATAATTGGCTTCTTATCCTCCTCTAGCATTTTCTATAATTTTTTTAAATTATACTACCTAAGTTTTTTCTATGATTTTCGTAATTTACCATTTCATGATCCATAATGCAAGCTTCAGATATACGAAACCACAAACGCGGATTGCTATGATATGATTTCAGCGGTACAAAGAAGCACTTATAGGCTTCTTTTGCCCGACGCAAGTGCAGCATCGCGATACCCAAGTTGTAGAGTATTTCACAAGTGCGCGCTGTACCCATCTGATATAGAGAGACGTTTCGAATATTAGCTGCAATATGCTTGTCAAACGCTATGGCGTCTTGAAAGAATTTCGCAGCGATCGCATAATGACGCACACGTAAATGTATTACGCCCATATTGTTGGCTATGCAAGTATTNGCCGACGCAAGTGCAGCATCGCGATACCCAAGTTGTAGAGTATTTCACAAGTGCGCGCTGTACCCATGTGATATAGAGAGACGTTTCGAATATTAGCTGCAATATGCTTGTCAAACGCTATGGCGTCTTGAAAGAATTTCGCAGCGATCGCATAATGACGCACACGTAAATGTATTACGCCCATATTGTTGGCTATGCAAGTATTAAGTGCATTACTATTTAAAGTAAAGAAACAAAGATTTAGTACATAGGATAGCAACTTTCCGGTTATTTAATATAACACTTACCCCTCACTTATAGCGCCAATTTCGTTAACTTTTTTCAGTTGCTTTGCGGCCATTTGAAAATCTTTCATGATGTAGTACTGATGTGCTTTAAGCGCTGAATATTCCGCTGACTATACCGTTAAGCGAAATAATGCATACAAGGATATATGTACATACATACATGTCGCGCGTTTAATAATATAATGAAGTATTTCAAAATTAAAATTTTGTGGGAAAATGCAATCAAAGTTTTATCAATTCATGCAGTTGGTATACAAAAAGAAATATGCCACATTTGGGAAGTTTGGATATCTATTAGACTGAACATATTCTACTTATCAAGCTTATNCGAAGTATTTCAAAATTAAAATTTTGTGGGAAAATGCAATCAAAGTTTTATCAATTCATGCAGTTGGTATACAAAAAGAAATATGCCACATTTAGGAAGTTTGGATATCTATTAGACTGAACATATTCTACTTATCAAGCTTATTAATTGCATAATGAAATCACCAAAAAGCGTAAATTTTGAGTTACATCTCTATACTATTAAACGTGCGATATTTACTTCAGCAAAATCATGTAAACAGACTCTTGTTATACATTTGACTTACCCCATCTTCGGCCACCGCAATGGGCTTACGGTTCAATACGTATGTCTGCACAGCTAAAAATTTGTATGCACGTTGAAAATTCTCATGATTTGCAACGGACAATTCACTGGATGCAGCCTCTTCACGTATCAACCCTTCTCTGTTTAAATTGAGAGATGACTTCCGTTCAGGTGATTGCAACATTTCCAAAAAAGCTGCCGCCTTGCGTAACTGATTCGTGACGAGAAGCAAACGTAACATGAATGTACTTACTAGGCCAGCTATCAGTTCCTCCAGATCATCAAGTTTATTCACAAGTGGCATAAGCGTCTCAATCGCAGTTTGATACATATGTCGATGATAGTAAATTATAGCAATGTTGTATTGCGCGATTGGACTAGCCGAGGTGTTATTCTGAAAGAATAAATAAGTGAATTATTCACTTGTATTTAATTTTTGTGCGACCATAGTATAACTATAAGTGCGACATTTTAAAACGGTGGAAACGTCACCGGAAGCCGCCATTTTTTTATTTAATTGAAAAGCTAACGCATTAAAACCAAGAAGGCCTTGATTGATACGTCAAAGCTTTCATTTTGTTTAATTTAAAATCAAAAAATATATAAAGGAATTCTTATCTTAACCGAAATGCAGCGATCTGACTCATCCGTTTTGAATTGGGACGAGTCCAAACAATTTAATTGTACACCCATGGTCCATGCTATTCGAGAATTACGTGACGTCTACAAAGAAGGTACTGAGCGGACTGTCAACGAAATAAAAGCGCGACTTGAGCAGGAAAGTGCTCAAAAAAGACAAGAAGGTACTCTTGTTATGCCATTACGAAAGCACGTTCGTCAAAATATGCTTACACATGTATTAAAATTAACCTAATCCGTCCGTTTCGTTGCAGCGGAAAAAGCAATGTCTTTACTCGAACTCTGCCGTCAATCTTTGCAACAATTAGATGAACAACATAAATGTATTGGCAGAAATCTTAAAGCACCGGTTGAGCAAGGGAGGGCGCTTACCGTGCAAATACGCCAAGAAGTAGAACGATGCACGCATGCCGAGTTAGCAATGCGCCAGCTTATTATTGAACTCAGAAATAAGAATCAATAATTAATACTCATTTTTNCCATCTGATATAGAGAGACGTTTCGAATATTAGCTGCAATATGCTTGTCAAACGCTATGGCGTCTTGAAAGAATTTCGCAGCGATCGCATAATGACGCACACGTAAATGTATTACGCCCATATTGTTGGCTATGCAAGTATTAAGTGCATTACTATTTAAAGTAAAGAAACAAAGATTTAGTACATAGGATAGCAACTTTCCGGTTATTTAATATAACACTTACCCCTCACTTATAGCGCCAATTTCGTTAACTTTTTTCAGTTGCTTTGCGGCCATTTGAAAATCTTTCATGATGTAGTACTGATGTGCTTTAAGCGCTGAATATTCCGCTGACTATACCGTTAAGCGAAATAATGCATACAAGGATATATGTACATACATACATGTCGCGCGTTTAATAATATAACGAAGTATTTCAAAATTAAAATTTTGTGGGAAAATGCAATCAAAGTTTTATCAATTCATGCAGTTGGTATACAAAAAGAAATATGCCACATTTGGGAAGTTTGGATATCTATTAGACTGAACATATTCTACTTATCAAGCTTATTAATTGCATAATGAAATCACCAAAAAGCGTAAATTTTGAGTTACATCTCTATACTATTAAACGTGCGATATTTACTTCAGCAAAATCATGTAAACAGACTCTTGTTATACATTTGACTTACCCCATCTTCGGCCACCGCAATGGGCTTACGGTTCAATACGTATGTCTGCACAGCTAAAAATTTGTATGCACGTTGAAAATTCTCATGATTTGCAACGGACAATTCACTGGATGCAGCCTCTTCACGTATCAACCCTTCTCTGTTTAAATTGAGAGATGACTTCCGTTCAGGTGATTGCAACATTTCCAAAAAAGCTGCCGCCTTGCGTAACTGATTCGTGACGAGAAGCAAACGTAACATGAATGTACTTACTAGGCCAGCTATCAGTTCCTCCAGATCATCAAGTTTATTCACAAGTGGCATAAGCGTCTCAATCGCAGTTTGATACATATGTCGATGATAGTAAATTATAGCAATGTTGTATTGCGCGATTGGACTAGCCGAGGTGTTATTCTGAAAGAATAAATAAGTGAATTATTCACTTGTATTTAATTTTTGTGCGACCATAGTATAACTATAAGTGCGACATTTTAAAACGGTGGAAACGTCACCGGAAGCCGCCATTTTTTTATTTAATTGAAAAGCTAACGCATTAAAACCAAGAAGGCCTTGATTGATACGTCAAAGCTTTCATTTTGTTTAATTTAAAATCAAAAAATATATAAAGGAATTCTTATCTTAACCGAAATGCAGCGATCTGACTCATCCGTTTTGAATTGGGACGAGTCCAAACAATTTAATTGTACACCCATGGTCGATGCTATTCGAGAATTACGTGACGTCTACAAAGAAGGTACTGAGCGGACTGTCAACGAAATAAAAGCGCGACTTGAGCAGGAAAGTGCTCAAAAAAGACAAGAAGGTACTCTTGTTATGCCATTACGAAAGCACGTTCGTCAAAATATGCTTACACATGTATTAAAATTAACCTAATCCGTCCGTTTCGTTGCAGCGGAAAAAGCAATGTCTTTACTCGAACTCTGCCGTCAATCTTTGCAACAATTAGATGAACAACATAAATGTATTGGCAGAAATCTTAAAGCACCGGTTGAGCAAGGGAGGGCGCTTACCGTGCAAATACGCCAAGAAGTAGAACGATGCACGCATGCCGAGTTAGCAATGCGCCAGCTTATTATTGAACTCAGAAATAAGAATCAATAATTAATACTCATTTTTTCAATAAACTCTAGTCCTCAGACTGAAAATTGAATTTTTATAAAAATATATTCACCTTATCAGCCTTTTCGCTGAGTGATTTTAACAGCGTAACGTGGTCTTTACAGCCGGACTGGTAGAACTTTGCTACAGCGCGATTATGTGTCAATTTATTATTGGTTCCATTGCACTTTTCGAGCTCCTGCAGCGTTTCCAGACACAGCTCATAGTTGGCGCTGTTGAGAAAATTTTTGTTTACTATGTGATTGTGAAAATGGAAAATTACAAAATTTACTTGCTGAACTCCGCGTAAGCTTTTTCAATTAGCTTGTACTCTTGCTCTACATCTTGGCTGGTCTCGTATTTGGGCTCCGCATCCTCTGAGTCAATTGCTTCCAACATTTTACGGCCATAAATTTGTAAAAAAGTTTACATTTCACATTTCACTTGCTGAGAACGGTGACCATATGCAAACGAAATTTAACATACCTGTCAGCAAAAAATAAAAGCGCAGAGTTGCATTTTCTTAAGCCCGATCTACACTTGACGTAGATACAAACATAACCGTAAATTATATCCAAATTAACTTCTTGGCCTTTAAAAATTAAATTATGCATGTCAGCTTTATACCAAACAAAGTCTAAAAAGCGATATATGCCTCCTGGCTCATAATAATTTAAATCAAGTTTGTAGTACTGCTTTTACTTTCGTAACAACACGCAACGATAGTGGTGTCTACGTAATCGGAAATATTAGGACTGTCAATTTAGCGACACTCCCCAAAAACATTCCGAAAAATATGTATGCTGTTATAACAAAAACTCTATTAATTTTTCCTTTCCATGACAGTCGTGACCATGTTATAATTCTGGCCGAGCGCCGCCACCCAATAATTTTTAAGTTAAACAAATCAGTTCGAAATTGTGTAATAAAATATATGTATGTAAGTATTTAGAAGAAAAGTACAATTATCAAATTTATTTACTCATTTGCTTTTCCAAACGTTCTATAACTTAAGACATACAACTAAGTTTTTTCAAAACACGGAATATTCGAATACCAAAAAATAATTACGGTTTTCCAATACATGTCGCATTAGATATTTATGCACGAATAATAATACATAATATTTTGTCGTTTCCTTACCCTACTAAACAATTCTTTTTAACGTCTTCCAATTTTCATCATAATTCAATCTTTATAAGCCTTGAGTAATATTTAATTCTTTTTGTTATTTTAATAATTTATCGGCACAATATTTAATGAGAAAATAGTTCGGGAATTCGAAAATATATATGTATGTATGTATGTATGTATATCCATATAGTAGAATGTCTATAAAGAACAATTCATACATTAAATCTATTTTAAATATTGTATAAACACGAAATTTGAAAAAATAAACCCTTCTGAGCAGTTAAATCCTCCAATTTATATTCGTATTTTGTATATTTTTTCTCATTCAGTTTGATTCCCCAGCATGTGTGAACTCGAGTAACAGTAACAACCACTTTTTTTCGGCACACGTTCCCCATTTACATTTTGGATCTTATTCTATCGCTTCTTATGTATTGCGAATTTTGCCGGGCACGTAGTTTTTATCGATCACATTTTCTTGCAAGAACATGTGTAAGCACCGCTCATTCTGCGCCAATGGATGGCCAGCGATTTTATTTATGAACGCTTCTAATCCTTTGCGTCGCTCTTCGATGAAGTTTTCATCAAATATGCCTTNATCCATATAGTAGAATGTCTATAAAGTACAATTCATACATTAAATCTATTTTAAATATTGTATAAACACGAAATTTTAAAAAATAAACCCTTCTGAGCAGTTAAATCCTCCAATTTATATTCGTATTTTGTATATTTTTTCTCATTCAGTTTGATTCCCCAGCACGTGTGAACTCGAGTAACAGTAACAACCACTTTTTTTCGGCACACGTTCCCCATTTACATTTTGGATCTTATTCTATCGCTTCTTATGTATTGCGAATTTTGCCGGGCACGTAGTTTTTATCGATCACATTTTCTTGCAAGAACATGTGTAAGCACCGCTCATTCTGCGCCAATGGATGGCCAGCGATTTTATTTATGAACGCTTCTAATCCTTTGCGTCGCTCTTCGATGAAGTTTTCATCAAATATGCCTTCGTCACCGCGAAAAGGCATTTGTCGTTTCCATGCCTTACCTGGTAAAGGTGGAACCACGATCTATTGCATAGGAAATTTAAGTTTTATAAAAATAGGATTTTAAGCATAATCAGATATCACATGTACATATGTACATATACAAGCTGTGCATATATGTACATATGTTTACCTTGCTATCGCGTTCCAGTTCATTTCTTAACCATTCGAAATCACTGTAACGTCTGCGTACACTAGACTCCTTCACTTTGAATACTGGCAAATTTGTCTGAAATACATAAAAATTCATTTGCATTATATTGCATATATGTACATAAGTATATGTATGCATGTGTATGTACGTTAATTGTGGGTGAAAATCGCAAATCCCGCTTAATACCAACTGTAAAACAATGAGTAAGATTCATTGATAAAAATATACTTTTTGCCTTGTGACTAATGTGTAGCAGTAGATAGTTTCAGTCACAAAATAACTGATATGCGCCATTAAATTTAAATTGCCGTACATTTGTATAAAGAAATTTTGTATTATTAATGTGGGTCACATCCGTTCGGGAAAAGATTATCAGCATGCACTCATTTAAACGCATAGGTCACTCACCCGCATTCGTACTTCGTAGTCCGTATAACGTTTTTTGCCTGCCGCCATAGTTGTCAAGGGATTGACCACGTCGATTTCCAAAAAATTGGCTGGCACCGCATACGCATCATCGAGCGTTTGCTTCTTGACGTTAAGACGACGAGTGGCATCAGCAGTTCCGTCGGATTCAACCATCATTTTCTTTGTTCGAACTAATTAATAAGTTATTATGATGGAGGGATTGAAGTTTTTTCCAAAGAGCTTTTTTAACTTTCTATACCAAGCAATATAGCAATAGCAAAATGAAAAACTGTTTTACTGTTTTCGAGAATTTTCAATAAATTTTCTGTCTTGCACTTTTCGTTGTCAACGCTGCTGTCCGCCCCTTTGCACAAAATGCTTTTACTTTTCAAGCTGATGACTCGGTTGCTACGTATGTATGTACAAGGGAATATTTGCTAAATACAATTCTCTTTTAAAACGGATTGTCTACTAAATTTAATATATTAACACAATTATTTAATAAGGATATTTACTAATGAAATATCTTTTCCTTCGCTTAATCCGATTGTGATTTCATTGTTAATTGCGATAGAACGATACGAGTGTAACGACTACAGAATATCGATACTTTTGATGAGTACGGAGTAGTATCGAGAACTCGATACTTTTTCACAAGTACTGAGTATATATCACGTATGCCGAAAAGTATCGACGAGTTAATAACTGTTTTAAGTAAATTTTTTTAAATTACCCAATAAATATTGTGGCGAAAGTTCGGATATTAACTTCAATATCCTATATGAATGTTATGTAAATGAACATAAAGATCTTTACTTCAATAATGTCATAACTCAAAAAACCGAAAACCGAAGAAACACGCCTTTAAAGTTTTTAATTCACATATCGTCAACCTCATGCCAGAAGCATGAAGGTGCAAATTCATCAGTTTTGAGTTATTGGGTTGACTTGGTTAATCTTTGGATTTTCCATGTTATACCAAAACCCAAAATACCATGCGTACACGGAAAGTAAATATTTAACAATTTCAATTGCATAAATGTAGAGCTAAAAGTGAAAGTACATAACGTCCATTGCGTCACTACCAACGTTACCGTCAGTTGTCAAAAAAGTTAAATCGGTAAGTTACATGAATAAAGCTGACGGTGACTGTGACGCACAAATTAGCTCAACTTTTAACTTGGCTTATGCGTGACAACTATTCTGTGTTTTGTTTACATATCTGAATTTAAATTTTTTCAGTTTGTGAAAATTTTTGGATTTATTGAGAAATATAAAATGATGAAAGAAAAGTGCAACGCAATTTTTGCAAAGAATAGCAGCGAGTTTTTGATTTTACGGATGCAATGGTGAACGGATAGTGTGTAAGTTGGCGCATAAGCACCGTTGACGCTCACATTGACGGTGGCGGTGCCGGCGACGCAATGGACGTTGTGTACTTTCGCTTTTAGTCTCACGAAAAAACTTTCAAACTTGATTTCCCAAAATTTTCATTTTTACACATTCATGTTTATGGCATACGAGCGACGATATGTAAACTCCCATACTAATAAGTAATACAAATTTTGTTCTAGTGAGCTACTGGTAATTGACACAGTTATGAAATTTTTACACAACCTAGAAGAAAATGTAGCTGCCATTTCAACATTGGCTTCGGGTAAAAATGTTCAAATAATTGAAAAACGAAAATCTTGCCTCCCCTTTGATAATGAATGGTGGAA